CGCTCTTAAATTTGTAACAAAAATCCCTGAAATTTTCCAAGAGTGATGATATTGTTTTGAGTTATCACATATATCTAGTATCTTACATAATGTTTTAACATAAATGGTTGAAAAAGGTCTCCATTTTTCTTTTTTATTATGTGGGTAGGATATCTGCCTGAGAACCGTACAATAATATTAATATCCCATTACTGTTGCATCTGAAAACTGGATGTGTTGGTGTTGTAGCCTTAAAACAGACCAGGTAGCTGGCAGCATCTCTGTGCTTTGAGGGCTAAGATTCAGTTGTCAGACATGTCCTTTATCAGGAAGACACTTGTGAGGCTGAATGAAATACTGAGCGGCTGTAACTTGATAATCTGATATTTTTTAAGGTGCCCTGTTTATGTCTCTGTGCAGTCTTCATAAAGTCCATGGACCTAAATTTGGGAACATCTTTTTTTAAAGGGAAAATAAAAGTATAACCTTGATGAATTTCACCATTCATTGACAAAGCAAAAGTTCTTAGCTATGGTGGAAGTTTGAATGACTGCTTTAATTTAAAAACCAAACCAAAACAAACCCCACTAAGTTTTGTTGCTATGATGTATTTCTTTACAGTAAGAAAATCCTCTGAAAATGCTAAAAACCCAGACGCTCTGAGTGTCCATTGAACACTATCCCTTTTATATGGAAAAACTGGAAAGGTCAAGAGAATCAGTCTTTTTGTCTTGAAAACTAGCCTCTAATTCACTCCAAATATGCCATCGTTGTGTCATTTACTGTTCTGGTCACAATTAGCAACAATGTAATAGTAATAAAATGGGACAACAAGACTTTATGGTGTCACACTGAACTGAAACACTTAAGTTGTGCATTAGTGTTCATAAGATTTATGATTTATAATTGTAAGATTTACTTAAGGGTTTACTGAGTCCTTCAAGCTAATAGTTGATACACAAAAATGCAGTCAGTATATATGCAATATAGCAGAAAAAATATTTAAAATAGACACTACAAGAGTTGATTCACAGGTCTTCTCTCTGTCAGTCTTAAATGTAAAGAAGCGTAAGGCACAGAACTGTTTCCTTAGCATTTATTTGATCTGTGAGGTCCCTGTCAGGTGCTAAAAGCATACGTGCTGTAAAAAAACAACGGGCAGGACAAATACATGGAGTAAAATCCAGTGTCTGTTTTGTATAAAAGGCAACGCTGTAGCTTAAGCTGTGCTGCAATCTGTGCTTGAAGCTTTTGAAACACTGTAGGGAAGTATCACTGCACTGCTTACTGTGTTTCATCTTCCTGGATATTTGCAGTTAACCTTTGTTCAAAACACTGTGTTGAGTAAGGTGGATCTTTGGCTTAATTCAGTACAGGTATCTTTCTGGTTTAGTACAGCTATATTTAAACACGTGTGATAAATGAACTCAAGGAAACCCATTTCTGACCATTAATTACAGATGTAGTTGTACCTTGAAGAAAGCACCATAATAGAAAAACATCGTATCAAATATTTTTTAAAATTTATTTGTTTGCTAGGTGCTTTATTTTTGCTTGGTGAACATCCTTTTTGAACAATTGAATGTGTGTAGTGCAGGAACTGTTCCATGTTTCATAAGAATGATGAGGGAGGTAGATCACAAATCTCCAGTAAAATTTACAATTACTTTCATCCACTATCTGAGAAAAACTATCAGAGATACATTTTATGAGCAGGTGGGGACCTTGAATGTAGCCATAATCCTCCTGCATATGGGTTGTAGAGCATGGTTTTGAACTCCTTCCAAAGTGAGACAGCTCATAAGATCCTTTTACATGCCAGTATTTCTTAAATACAGGCTGAATGGCTAAGTGTATTGAGCAGTTAAATCTTGTTTGGTTGAATGAAAGCACATGATTTGAGTTCACTTTGGTTTTGTCTTGTCACTCCTCGTATGTCAAATATATGTCACAAATAAGTGCTAAGATATATATAAATACCTTAATCTAGATCTTTTATTCTCCTGTGAGGGACTCCAGAAAAAATGAAACTCCTCAGTTAAGGTGTCATTACAAGCAAATCAGTGCATGTGATCATCCCTGTTTTCACCATCTTTCACTTTTTTTCCTCAGTTCAGTTTTAATGACAGTTTTAACTGTGATTTTCTAGATGCTGAACAACTTTTAGATTTTTGGAGCTGAAGGTAAGGAAATACTGATTTCATTACATACCTTCAGAGAATCAAGTAATACAGTAGAAGAGCCGTAGGGATGTTTCACGGTACACACTATATCACTTGTCACTTGGACAGTAACAAAGCATAATCCAATGCCATGGATTATTGCCATGTATTAAAAATGTCTCATACTAAAGATGTCTGAAAGCGTGTGACTGATTAAAACCAGTATCATCCTCTTGATGTGTTCAGTTTTACATTTATGTAAAATGTTACATTTAGTGTGACAGACTATGTTTAGCTGTCGTCGTAAAGTCTGTGATTTTGTTATCCTCATCATCCTGGAGTCACGTGGTCTGTTTTTGGTTTTGTTTTCTCTTTTCATTTTAGATGCAGAGCCTCAAAGGTGGTACAGAAGCTATAGCCCATTTGGACCAGTTAGAAGCTGATTATTATGATCTACAGCTTCAATTATATGAAGTGCAGTTTGAGATCTTGAAATGTGAAGAGCTGCTGCTGACAGCACAACTTGAAAGCATCAGAAGACTCATGTCAGGTGTGTTATGCATTTTAATTAAGACAATTTGTAAAAGATAGTTCTCTCTCTAGAATTCTAATAAAACCAGTGGGAATGAAATGAGAGCACATTCGTTACCATATGTAGAGCTGGATCTTCTGAAATAAGTACTATTAGATTCAAATTTACACCTGTTCATAAGGCATTTACATACACATACACAGGTCTTGGTCTGGTTCTCATTGCCTGTGCTTGGAAGGAAGCATATAAGTTATTATGGAAGTTTTGGAAACTTAAAGGGGAATATCTTAATTATTGGACAAGTCTCATTAACTATTGCACTGGTATTATTAATTTCTTTGAAGCAATTGCTTTTCAAAAGGTATTCCTGTCAATCAGAGTTCTTCAGTTAAACTTTGAAGAGTGTTGTATTGCTATTTCACTGATTTAAAGCATTGATGCAAACCTTCCAGAACGTACTATACTTTGTATGCTTAAAAACTATGAAAATGGAGCAGGTAAATCACTCCACCTTTTTTTTTAATATAGTTAATGTTTTTATTCACACAAGCTGCGTTTTACTGTTTAGTGCATTTGGGCTTGCATAGCAAATTCTTTTTATGGACAGAAAAGTCACTTAAGAGGGATTTGAAGCTGAAGTCTATTGGGAGTTGCCCCTGGAAAAAGAGAAAACATAGGTTTCATGGACTCTTCTCACTATTAAGTGAACCTCCTCCTTCTAGGCTTGTGATAGCAAAAATTGTAACTGTATGTATGGAAGATGAAGATTGAAAACTCTGTAAATTACTTAAAAAATGTGGCAGCTTTGAGCATGTGCCTCTCTGGAGAGCTGGTTCATGCTTTAGAGAGAGAGTTTTTGTACTTGGCAAATCAGACATTTAATTTTGCTACCGAAGACACCGTATGGTTTGCATACCTCCAGACCAAAGGAAAGCCCTTGAACAGGGAGCTGAGAAGGAATGTGTATCAAAATCCTTTCTCTTTCATAGTAACTGCTGCAAAAACATCATAGGTCATTGTGACTTGTCACTAATATTTTCTACAGAAACCTCAAAAAAAAAAACCCAACACCACAGCCTCACCGAAAACAAAATGAAAACCCTAGTCAGCTAAACAACTAGGCCTCTCCTTCCCCTAAGGCAACAAAATAGTACATTCTGGCTTCCTTTTCTATTCTAAATCTGTAAAGCATTCTTTGATAATAAATCCCGAAGTTGGATTTTGTTGGGTTGTTTGGTTTTATTTTTTTTTTTTTTTCCATTAAAGACAGTGGTCTATGTTAGAAGGAATTACTGGTTTTTAAGAACTATCAGTTAATGTCCCATAGGACAGGAAATGGAAAATACCATGCTTAAGTGAAGTTCAGAGCAGCAATTTCATCCTTTGAACAAAATTCACACATGCTTAGGTGGAGGGGATAGAACACTTAAAGTGAAGAACATGACACTGATGCAGCTACATTTCTTCCAGACTGTTCAGCATCAAATCTGATGAAAGCATCTAAAATGTACAGTGGTCTTTTAGTATCTGGTGTTTCCTGTACTGTCAAAGAGAAAAGAATAGTCTGTTGTATATTCTGTTACACTTCCTCTTTAAAGTGTACGCACAAACAGTAAAGTAATATTCTTTACTTAAGTGTGCATATCTGTATAATTTGAAAAATGTGTCTTAGTGACTTACACAACCTGTTGTTCTTTACTCTTTGACTGTATTGGCTCTGCAGGAGTATTTAATAGAGTTTGGGTTTCTGTTTTGAGTGACATCAGCAGTACTGCTAATGAAGTACCAACAGCATTCTTGGAGAGCGTGATTTGATTTGACTGTCACTCATATCATGCCAGCTGTATCTGCCTGTTTCAGACAGCAGTAGTGCATATCCCTCTTGGTGTATTACAAAAATAGCCTGCTTGATATGTCAGTGAAATAAGGAACAAGAGACCTTTGCTTCTTCACCCCAACATTCTGCAAGGATTTATAATCATCACTCCTCCCTTCCTGGCAAGAGATGAGAAGGCAGTGTTCAGAGATTAGCTCAATGTTATACTGAGTGTTTCACTCAAGAGGCTAAAAGTGAGTGTTGATGAAACTATGAGTAATGAGCCCCTTCTCAGGCCTGTAATGCTCTGAAGGATTGCCTTGAAGTTACTCTCCCTTGCTGCCTCTGAGCAGGAGCAGTGACTGTCAGGTAAAAAACTTCTTAAGAGGGGATTTTTGTGTTTCATTGTGTCATTCCCCTTTCATGAAATTAAGTTGGTTGTGACAGAAGAATCTCATGCCAAAGACTTCATATATCCTGAACTTTGTGGGGAAGGACAGAGGTTATTACTGCACAAGCATAGGTCCTTTGTACTTATGAAGAGACCCAAAACCATGCATGGACATTGTGATCAAGTTAAGCTCCACATGCAAGTGTACATTTACTGTTCTTGGTTTTTGATGCTCTGAGCTTACTGCATACCAGGCTATGCTTCATTGGTGTTGATTTCTGTTCTTCATATAAACCTAAAAAGGCCTAAAATACGTTGCTGTTTAGTGTGTTTTCTCTAAACTTTTGACTTTTGACAGACCTCTGAAAGGACTGTATCATCCTTCTACATTAAATCTTGCAAGTCAGTGGGAGGGTTGTTGAACAAAACAAGATGTTAATGAAATACAAACTACTGATTTGACTTTTTCATTGCTGACATTTTTAAAACAGAGAAGAGAGATGAAGTTGTATACTATGACACTTACGAAAGTATGGAAGCTATGCTTGAAAAGGAGGATATGGCAACATCTATACACTTGCAGAAAGAGGAGCTGCAAAAGTTACAACAGAAAATACGCCAGCTGGAAGCAAGGCGTGGACGTATTTCAGCCAAGAAAGCCTACCTCAGAAATAAGAAGGTATTATTAAGTTGCAAATCTCTAGCATAATTAGCAAATTTAATAAAACTTCAAAAGGTTTAATTTCAGATACAATGTCCAAGTCTCCCAGAATTTTTGTAGATTATATTTACTAGTTCTAGAAGTTATTTTAGAGTACCAAATATAATAGCATTTATTATTAAATTTATATGTTTAAGATTCAGTTTGCTTTTTAGCTTTAAAGGAACCTTTAATTACTTGAAGTCAACAAATAAACTTGTTTCTGTTAACTAATCAGAATACTTTAATGTGGAAAGTACTTGCTAGAATGCATGTTTTTACTGAGAGTAGTATCATATGTATCTGCAGAAGAGATTTTTCAAGGGTGTTTTCTCGCTGAGTTCTATTTTCATTCTCATATCTTATCCTTTTATATTTGTGTCATGTGTCATTGATACTCTGTATTCAGCAGACGTATATGAAATCCAATATATATGCCTAATTTCTAAAACTTAATTCTGCTATTGTTGGCCACTTTCCATTTTCAAGTGTTACATCACTGGGATGTTGTGTGGAAAATTTTTTTAATATAGCAAATGTTTTGAAATTGTCTATCAAGTATATGTAAGTACGTTCATTCCTTTTTTCTAGAATGACTTGTTTATTGTCTCTAGGAGTTTCTGGTTACATCAATATGTATTATTAATGAGAGAGTTGCTCGATGAGTAGAAAAGGTCAAAGTTTTGAGAAAGCATTGTAATACTTGTTACAAAATATATTTCTACACCAGACTATATGCTATAAGTCTATGCAGAAGTCTTGGTTAAGACCTCAGTCTAGATTGGGATCAGGGGTTGGTGTGGTTATAAGTTCCCAGTTGTGTCCCTTGGTGTGGGATATGGCTGCTTTTATATAAACAGTTGTAGCAGATTGAGGGTAGAGCCTAAAGGTCTTGTCTTCCCTGTGTAACTAATATATTTATTTCTGTACCTGAATATGAAGCATAACAGAGAAAACAAATCAGTAGTTGATACTTTTTGAATTTTTTAATTTCTTCAGTTGCTGTCCTGTCTGATTAACACAATATGGAGAAGAGTGCAAATCTACTATAAAATAAATGTCTCTTGTTCACCAGTTATGGGAAGTAGTTTGCTCAGAGTTATTGAGTTTGTTTTATGTGAGTTTGTAAACACAAGAAGTATCAAGAAGCTGAGCTGTTTACTGCTTCAGATCCCCTCTGTCACATTACACTAATCAATATAAGCTACATTGTAATAGTTTTGCTATTTTTTTTCTTGCATATGAAAAGACACTGCTGACATATTACAGAGTAGACAAACCTGTTTGAAAGTGAGAGCATGGTCCTGGTTCCTTACTTAATTTATGGGAGTTAACATGTTGACAAGCAGTTCTCAAGGAGGAGTAAAGATAGTTTAGCGTGCCTTTTTATCTGTATAACGAACTACTTACATTCAGTTGACTCATTTGTTTCAAGGTTTTGCTATGACTGAATACCTTGTTTAACCTGAAGGAAGTAGTTCTAGGCTATGGCACTAGTTGCAGCGTGTCTAGCCGTGCACTGAGACATGGTGCAGGCTTCTATGTGATAGTATTGCTCATCTGGAGTGATATGGTAGTGGTAGTATTGTGTGCAGGAGTAATATGTCTGCACAGCATTGTGCTGGAAGTGTGTGGCTATACTGCTTTCAGGACTGGAGGTAATGTCTCCACATGGAACTTCACTGCTGGACATTGCACAGCATGGATATCACAGTGCTGTCAGAGCTGTTCCAGCTCTCTGGTGATTTCATTGAAATACCGTGTCTTTCAACTTGCAAGGGAAAACCAAAGATTTTTATTCAAGCAAAACAATAAGGAAGAACTCATTTTTGTGTACCATTTTGTGGCACTCGTTGGGCAGCAAAGAACATAACCATTTTGATGGGAAGTTAGAGGTATTTATGCTAGCTGCTCTTACCACTGCTGAATCATGCAGAGCCCTAGTACACTTACTAGTGATTACTTGAAAATCAATACTTTGTGACTTTTATTAGGAAAGAAACAAGCTTTGTATCTTGAATGACCATTCTAGTGATACTGCAAAACATTGTTAATGAACACTAGTGGCTGATCTGGGTAGTCGTTCTTTACAAAACTGTGAGGAAAAAAGCTTCTTGCTCTAAGAGTAGGCAGTTGAAGTTAAGCATGCAGAACAAAGATAGAGGTGGGGTGCAAAAGGAGGCTCTAGGTGGTGTGAAATAGCACAGTGAGGACTGAATGCTACGTGGAGGAAAGAATAAGGCGTTGAGGGTGCACTTGGAAAATACATACTGTGTGGTGAATCTTTTCTCAAAGTCTGTCTCAATTAAGAAAAATCTATTAGTGAACTGAGATGAGAGTCTACTTCATGCTTTTCAGAGTGTGTTCCTGACCATGCTTGTTTCAGCAAAGTGTCTGAAAACAAACCTGTAAGCAAGTGTTCTGTTTTGGATTGGGTTGATGAGGTTTTAGGGGTGATGGTTTTTTAATTTCTTTCTTCTGTGTTTTCTACCCTGTCAGTTTTGTAGTTGAAGAACAAGCTGTGTGTTAAGTGGTGTACATCACAGTCTTGTGATACATTTAGAAATTACAGTCCTTGTTCATTATTAGGTGTTTGGCCACTGAAGATTCCCTTAGGAGAATGCCCCTGTAGGAGGATGCTCCATTTGTCAGAGAAAGTTGCAGATACCTTGATAAAGGAAACAATAGGAAATTATTCTTTAAGTTTTTATTTTTTTGGAGGCAGCCATTTCATCATCCATGTATTTTAAAATATTTTCTATTGAGGAGCTAATGCAATTATCAAGGAAATCAATTACTCTGTGTAGAATAATATTATATATAATATAAAATTCTGTGATTAATAGTACCTATTAATTTTTTTTTTCAGAAATCCCTTCCCTGTTCTTGCAGTTGATGCTTTTATTTTTTAATGATGTTGTCAAATAGTTGTAGCAAGCCTTTAAAAACTTCTGCTGAAGTTTTGTTAGAAGTCTTCTTCAGTTGTGATTCTGAGCTAGAATTTTTTTGATTTATGGTTTTATAGAGATTGATGTTCTTCCACTGTACTATCATGAGTATAAACTCTTCATTGTCATATATTTTTATACAAACCTGTTTGCATTGTTAGGCCATCATTTCCTGATGTCCCTTTGTGTTGATGACAGTGCGTTAGTTATTAAAAAATGAGATTTTAATAGCAGTCTGACTATTTTTCCAGTTTATTGAAAGCTAGTTAGGGGCTTCTCATGCAGGCTGTTGCTGTTGTTGGCCCAGCCCACCCCCTGCTGGCTGCACTCTAGTAGTAATTTGGTTACCATATGGAACAAGCAGCTGTTTTATCAGACATCTAGATTTATAGCATAGTCAAGATAAATAAGGTTGTGTAGGAGGTATTTTTCTAAATGTCTTTGGAAAAATGAGAGCTGGGAAGAAATTGAACTGGTTTACATCCAGGAAGAGTATTCCTTATCATGAGCAAACTACAAGAAGCAGCTGGTTGGTAAAGCTGTTCGTAATGTGTGCTTTGACTTAGAAAGGTTCTTCACGTGCTGTTATGCCCATTTAATAGGATACCTTTAACTACTTTGCAAGCCTAGAGTTTAAAGTACAGCTGGTGCCAAACCAGGTGTTATCTAGATGCAGTGAAAGCTAGCATGGAGTTTCCTGATATGCTTTCATATTACTGTCGTTATTGCTACCACTCCACAACAGAAGAACATCAGGGCATAGCTACACAGAATGTTCACTGTAAAGTAACGGCCTCTGCATACTGAGCTTACTCAGTGAGGAGCTACCCTTGTCATGCGATGGCTTTCAGTCTGAAAGCAAGGTGCACTGGCACTAGTTATAATACTAATGCAGATCTCTTCTACCTGCATTGCATGTTACTTGTCATAAACACTGTAGCTTATCCAGTCATGAGAACAGAAATGCTTCCTCAGCAATCCCTTTTTGTCTCTTTGTCTCTTTAATAGAAATACAATTTGATACTGTGAGATCAGTCAGGTGATTAAAAGAGAAGTTAACTTTACTTCTTGATGCTCTCTGGTTCCATACAGTTGGTTGGCATCTTTCTTGAAGTGTGGCTCTCAATAGCCGTAATGTTGCTGCTATCCCAGTGCTGAGAAGGAGGCACTATTTCACATCTGCAGCAGGCTGTAATCCTGCTCATACACCCATTTATGATGTTTTCTTTTTTTTGTCGGAGTTTGTTGTTCTATGTTCAACTTGTCATCTGCCACAATCATTCAAATAATTTTCTTTAATGCTGCCACTTGGCTTATTTTCTTCATCATTTGTTTGTAGACACTTGTCTACAAGTAGAAACCTGCATTTTTCCCTATGAAATTGCAACGTTTCTTTATTTTTTTAAACCATTTCTGTAATTAGTTAAGTTGATATAGATTTCTAATTCTGTGGTGCAATGGTCTTTTTTGTTATTTCAAGTCATAGAGATCTAATTATGTTAAAGTAGGTTGTTTATTAGTACAAAGCACCAAATATTTTTCTCTCTGGTTTATCTTCTTCACATGCTTAAAATGTCCTTCATTATTGCTCTTGATGAGAAAGGTATAAATACCAATGTTAAAGAGAAAATGTTTCATAAAAGCTTGCCCCCGAAGGACATATGGGGCATGTTAAAAAAAACAATCATACCTAACATATATTCTCATTATGTTATAATACTTTTGTATATCTTGTAACATACGTTCCTCATTATTTTAGAAGACTTTTAATTGAACCTAACACATAAATAGAGAATAAACTATAAAGGTAAATCCGGAGTATTCAAAGTCTTTCTGTTACTGTCTGATTTCCTGGTCCTTGGTATTATCCTATGAACTTGTCTTGTTGCTACTCTGAATTCCTGCACATACCCTTTTTTTTGTAACTGATATTTAATTCAGTTCTTTTATATTGTCTACCAGATGTTTGTGTGTCATCCTGCTTCTTGTCATCTATTGTAATATGGCCTGGTTTGTTTTTTTTTTTGTCCTGTTCTTATTTGCAAGCAATATAATAAATGCTTGGTTTGAAACAAGACATTAGTCATGAACTTGGTATAATAAGTGAACCTGCCTGTGCATGCATAAAACTGTAACACCTGTATTAATGTTTGCACTTGCACATTGCACATTCAAAAGATGAACTGACACTTGTAAATGAGAAGCTTTTAGTTGCATAAACAGAAATATGTAGCATATTTGAGAGTTAGTTATTATCCTTAAATGAGTTACGCAAGGGTTTTATGAAGAATTTGACAAATTGATATTGCCAGTTTTGTTCTGGTATTGTAGAACAGACTTTTCATGCAGCTGTTACTTGTGTGTAGTCTTTTGACAGTTAAAAGTAAGGGGTTTGACTTTGCCTTGGTTTTGTTTGCATTTGTGTTTTCACTGTGTCTTAAATTAGCTTGTCTGAGATACACTTTATAATCTTTATTTTTCTAATTCTTAGTGCTGTTTGCTAAATATGACATTATATTCTGTAAATTGACAGTTGAAATTCGTATTTTATAAGTAACATTTTATGTCTCTACAGGAGATCTGTATCGCAAAGCATAATGAAAAGATCCGTCAGCATCACCAGAGTGAGGAGGAATACAAAATGCACCATACTGTTCAGCTAGTAAGTTTGAGTTTTCTGCTGTTGAGTTTAGCCTTTAGTTAATGGTATGCATTCCTCATTATACATTAATTAGGAGAGTATTCAGAGTGATAGGAGTTTCAAAAATATGGTGTATATCCCTGACCTTGGCACCATGGATTTCTGTATCATATTATGCTGGTAAGGTGGAGTATATAGCTGTGTAAGGATGACTTTGAACCCAAGCAAGTGAAACAGTTCTATAGTGCTAGATTCACAGTCTAAGTAATTATTGCTAGAGTTAGACTGCCTGCCTTTTGTAATCACATGCACATAGATGATACCAAACATCTCTGAGTACAGATATGCTGAGATGAGTAAGGAAACTATACACATTTATTCTTGAACCTTAAGAAACTTTTTACTTTTCTTCTTTGTGTTGTGTAAAGATGTAGTTCCATCTGTACACTCCACGATTCTTTGTACAGTCTCATTGCAGAGAACAAGCTAGCTAGTCTAACTCTTGTGCTGAACGTAATAGACTTTATCGTAAAGAATAGTCAAATTCTGGGCTACATCCCAGGAGCTGACATAGTATCAATATTTCATAAAGATCTCTTGACAAAGATGCATTGAAATCCAAGTCTTTTTAATTCAGGCTTCAATTAGATTAGTGAAAGTGATTCTGTTTCATCCTTATGCATTTTTAACATGGATACATTTGTCCAGGAAGTCAGCTGCATAATTTATTTTATAAAAAGGCTACTTGTGAAAGACAGTGCGTATTGGCATGCTCTTTCAGGAACTTAGGAAAAAAAAAATTTTTTTTCAGTTCTTACTTATTGTAAGGAATTTGCTGTGTGGATTGTAGTACATTTATCACTCTTAAAAATAAGACTTGACAAAGCTGAAGGACTTTCTTGTCTCTCAAGCACTAGAAGGCTTTTTTTTCTCTTTATTTCATGGTTTTGTTTGCTTGCATTATATAAAGAATCTCATGCTATTGTCATCTTCTTTTTCTGTTAATAATGTAATTTCTACTATTACTGTAAAATGTTTTCGGCCACTGTTTTTTATGAAGAATTTTGAAAATATAACTTCAAGGATGTCCATACCTGAAACCAAATAAGAATTGTGATTTCACTGTTCTTATTTAAACTAAACAAACAAATAAAACCCACTTGAGTTCAAGACTGCTTTCATCTGATCGCATATGTAACATACAGATGTGATGATAAAAATATCCTTTCTTCTTGCTGTAATCTTTTCTTTATGCTTCTGGTTTACCCTCTTTGTTCCCTTGCTCTGTTATTTTTCACCATGTATTTCCATTCATCTTCACCTTTTCCTGTTTCCTTTTCTTACTGTTTTTCCTCGTTTTCCCTGATGTTCTCGTCCTTTCCCTGATGCATCTATACTTAAGCTCTTTCCAGATCAGAGGAGTTGGCCCTTTATGAAGGACAACAGACCACTAGCTGACTCCTGAAAATAGCAGGGAGAGGCAGACACTGCTTTTGTGTTGGCTGTATGACAATAAAATTTCACAAAAGCGATTAGAATTTTTGTTTATAAAGATTAGTTTTTAGGAGTAATACTAAATACTCTTGAGTCATCGAAAAATAAAGGCTGCTGCTTCTGCTCAGGGTTTTTTCTTTACAGTCACTTGTTCTATCACTTTCCTGGTAACTTCCTAACTTGCAAAGTTATTTTTGCCATCTGATAACTGGCACCCACTTTCAATAAATTTGACCAAAGAGCAGTTTTTTGTTTCAAAGTTGTAGTAAGTTTGCTGAAGATTTTGTGAAAATGGAGGACTAGTTATAGTTGGATTCAAATGTGTGTTTTCACTGAGGTAAGATTCCCAAACCAGAAAAAATACAACTGTCTTAGCTGCAAGGATGAGCTTTTATTGAAGTAAGAACTTCTGCTGAAGTAAGGTTACAGAAAGTCAAGCTGGATTAAGTAGTGACATCTTAAGTTAATTAAATATAAAACTTTCATTTGCTGCTGTAATTGTAATGAAAATATTTACTTAATTTACTCAGTATTGAATTAAAAACTTTGTGGCACCTAGTTCTGTGATTTCTTGCACTGTCAAAATACTAGTATGACTTGTTTTAAGTGGGCAACCTTGCAAATTGGACTTTCATTTTATTCTTGGAATGAGAGAAAATGAATACTGGTTTGCTGTCTGGCTTACTTATTACGCTTCTAATTTAAGGGGGCTTCTTTTGGTATAGTGTTCTGTCACTTGTCTAGTTATTTCTCACCTTTCAAGGTAACAAGTCTTCAAGTGTTCCAGTTCCAGACCGAAATCTTCCTTTACTGAGCTCTGCATTTCGTTGAGATTTTTAAAATGTGAAACGTATCATATTTTTGAAGTGGGAGACAAAGGCCAAGTTTTGAAGTTCAGAAATGTGTACTTGATACTTAGGTGGTTAGGTAATTCTTCATTAGTAGAGGAGTTATTTTAATTCAGCCTTTAATGATGCTAAACATAGCATTGGATGTAGCATTTACATGTTTTCCTTGTGTTTTCTCAGAAGAGAGATCAATTACAAGATGAAGAGGAAAGAAAGAGTTCGTGGGTTAGTCAGGAACGACAGAAAACACTGGACAGACTTCGCACTTTTAAACAGGTAACAGAAGAGGAGTTATTTTGCACCATTTTGCAAACGAAATTTTCACTCATTCCAGGACTATACGATGCTATTAGCTATTCTCTTACATTGTGCAGTTAACTGTTCTTTGGAAAATATACAACAAAATATGTCATTGTTCATAACAAATTCCTCTGGCCATTGCATTCCCAATGCTATAAAAAGTTTCTATTCACCCTTCATCCACATCATATGACACTTATCAAAGGTTCCTAAAAGCAGTATAAATTAAATGCTAATGCTCACAAAGAGCATGACCATCTGACATACTCCCACTATCACACATTGCTAGAATGCCTGCCACTGCCTGTTGCAGTGCAAGTATCTGAGACTGCATAGAAGGTGGAATGAAGGGGAAGAAATAAGGAGAGGGGTGAAAGCACCAAAAACCAGGGCTGTATTAATTTGCAGAGACTTATTTTGGTTTTGCTGACTATATTAAAAAAAAATTGACAAGATTCTTTACTAGAAAGCTTTCTTGCTCAGGACTACTCTCTTCATATCGTTGTTTGCAAGGCTTTTGAATTGCATTGCTTCTGGAAATTAAAGCCAGTATACTTCTTTTCACCAGCAACTGTTAATAAATTAACTTCATCTATGAACAAGATATTGTTATAATCTCTATTGTTATTATCTCTTATATTGTTATGATCTCTATTGCTTTAGACCTAGCATAGTTGTGTAAAATGTATTAGGTGTGTCTTTCAGAAGCAGTTAAAATTTTTGCATAAAAACAGCTATGGATCAAACTAATATGCAAAGACAGATCCTGAGGTAGCAAATTTAAGGACTAAATTAAAAATATTTTTGAAAGTCTCAAACTGTTTTATATATTCAAGGGATACCTTTGTAAGCAGCGTGATTCACATCTGAGGCCAGTGTATTAAGCCAGAGAGAACTTTGTTGCAGAAGGAACCACTGACCAGTTTTAGAACAGGAAAGCAAGATGGAATTTTGAATTTTAGTTTCTAGAAAAAACAGTTTTGAATGTGCAGTCAGGTTCTTGGTGAAATTCTAACCCATGTATATCCCTGACTAGATCAATCACACGTAAATTGTGGCTTAACCAGGAATAAAAAAGAAAAAATGGATTATTTTTGCATAAAAGTGAGGATATGTTTCCTTTGTTTTTACATCCAGAGCAAAATGAATGAAAATAGCAGATGAATTATGCTTGTCAAAGACAAACACTAACGACAAGTACTTACACTCTAGAGTAGTGTGTTGTATGTGCTTATCTAACTGTCAATAACTTATGCACTTCAGCGGTACCCTGGGCAAGTAATACTTAAATCAACCAGAATACGACTGACTCATGCAAGAAGAAAATGTGCAGCCAGCTCAGCGTCCTGTGTCAGTCAGCCTCAGTCTCTGCCAGCAACCATACAAATCCAAGAAAAAAGTGAAGAGGTGCAACTGGAACATGCAGTTCAGCCTTTGCAAGTGCAGGATTCCATGAGCTTAGAACAACTGCAAGATACCCCATCACGTCCCAATGGTGTTACCTCTGATCTGCCTCCTGTGAGTCCTCCTTCAGGCACCACTAATGAGCTGGAACCAGAGACTGTTACTGCAGTACCACTTCCACCCCCTTTGCCTCCACCACCTCCTCCTCCTCCACCTTTGCCCTCAAAGGAAGATGACACCAAGTCTTTAGAGAAGAGCAACAGCTTTGTTAAACGTCAGAGTGAAGAGAAGGGAGTCCAGCACTCTCCTGGTATCCCACCAGCCTATCTCTTTGACAGCAGTCAACTAGTCAGTGCCAAGAAGAAGCTTAAGAAGACTGGTGATCTAGAGGGTTTACACAGGAGGAGAGGTAAAGTTTTAGTTTCTGTGCATTGAATTGTAACACACATCACTTCCTCTTATGAGTTGCGACATAGAAAAGTGTGTCCTGTGATTTATTTATAATTATTAGTGGGAAAGTTGTTAAATCCTTTTCAGCTGACAAATGTTGGTAGCTCAAACAAATGTTAGGATCTTTATGATAGCGTGCAGTATGCTTATTCAGTTAGACAGAAGATACTTTTGAAAATGCCTCTCTGATATACCATGACAGACCAGCTAGACAAGGGAACTGAACATTGTCTAGAAGGACCTTTTCATATCTGGTTTGGAGCCAGAACTGCAAATATTACAGGCATCACATGAGGGTGTAGTGTTTTTTTAGTAACAGAATTTTACGTTAAATTATGACCTAGTAAAATGAGTGTGTGTCCTGGGACATAGGAAACGTTGAGAATGCTTTCTTCAAGTTTTCTTCAAATTTTCATACAAAAAATCCACAGACTCTCAAGTACCATTGACAGCTGAGCAAGAATATATATGTTTGGCTACAATTGGAAGTTAAATCTGTGGTCATTCGTACTGGTGTTTCAGTGAAATGTGCTATATTGGCGCAAATGTTTTATTTGAAAATCAGAGGTGGGATTTTCAAAAGCACCCAGCTGATGTATTTTACTGGAAGTTACTGAGAAAAAGTACCTAGAGTGGACTTTGCTGTAATAACTTTTTATTAAAATTCTGTATGGCTCTGTCACTTAAAACCACAGAAAACATCCCTCCATTGACATTTTCCCTCATCCATATAAAATCAAAATAGAACTGTCTTCATTAATCAGACAGAAATGCATGTTCTATCTTGAATTGTCTTTAAATGACTGAAAACTCTTGAAGCAGCTGCATAGTTGTAGAATTCTTAAGCTGTTTTGAATCTTGCATGTACAGTGTCTTTCTTAAGTTCATTATAAATTTTGATGATGCTATGCTTAATTTTTTTTCCCTTTTCTGTAGTTCTACTGTTTGTTTTTCTGATACTTGTTTTATCTTCCTATTTTATATAAACACATATTGTGGATGCAGTTTTATATACATCAGAGAATGACCAATGCCAATTTATATCTTCCCTCTTAAGAGTATTGTCAGTGTCTGCAGCAGCACTCTACCTGCTGCTCTGTGTTCCCAGAGGTGTTCCAAGTCTCTAAGTGGCTTTCAAAACTTGTCTTTGTATGACAGACAAGTGTTTTACAATCTTCCTCCCACCTTAAAATGTGCAGTCCTGTGGTGTTCTTTTATTTCTCTCTTTCCTCGTGTCTATTCCAACTGTCTGGGCCATGAATCTGATGGACAGAGCCCACTCAGAAATGCAAAACAGGTTTTAAACCTCTTTATTCTACAGGTAATCCTGTTTATTTAAAGCTGCTATTCTACAATATCCAAATGTAAATTAAGTATAGACAAAATAACTGGGGAGGAACATTGAAATATTGATCTGGTGGTTGGTATGTGGTGCATGTTGCACGTGCTAGGGTATGTGAGCTATTTCAGGCTGTTGCACTTCATCATACTGCATTCTCTGGATAGAGGTGTTAACCTACGTGTAGTGCTTTAAAGAGCCAAAGCCTGAATTTTATTGCTGTGGAAAACTGGTTTCGAACTGGTGGTAAAGGGAGGATTTGTGATCAAGTATTTACTCTTACATCTCTTGCTTCCATTAATTATAAAGAGAATTTATATGGGCACTCTGTGACTTGGTGCTAATACGTACACGAATCCATAGGAGCAGGAAAATGTGTACGTACATGGGTGCTTCCCTCACTGGCCTATAGTAATAGTCATAAGGTAGGTAAAATCAGTCACAAAATGCAAGTGCTGGGAATGGACTGCACAGTCCAGTACTTGAGATACGGACTCATTCCCTGGGTTTCAACGTCAAGAAAGTGTAATTAAGACTTCTGTTGTGTAGGATTCATTGCCACTATTTGGAACTTTCTGGTGGCAAACAGGAAAGCCCATCTATCTTGTTCAAAAAGTTTTGCTATCTGCCTGAAGGGAGGTTAAGTGGTTTCAGAAATTAGAATGGACTGTATAAACTAGTTTAAATCTGTTAGTAGGGAGGATAAGTTTGGAGCTAAAACAATACCTGAGCTACTAATATGTACTTACTTACATATACGTACAGTGTGGGACTGTCACATTAATATTATGTGGCTGCTCTTTGGTCTGTAGGAAGTACAAACGAAGACTGATAAAAATCTTGTATAAATAATACTGAAGGTCTTTTGATGTATTGCAGTGAGTTCCCCAATGGATGAAGTGCTGGCTTCCTTGAAACGTGGCAGCTTTCACCTAAGAAAAGTTGAGCAGAGAAGTCTCCCTCCTTTTCCTGATGAAGATGACAGCAATAACATCTTGGCACAGATCAGGAAGGGAGTGAAACTGAAGAAGGTGCAAAAAGATGTCTTGAGAGAATCCTTTACAATTCTGCCTGATACTGACCCTCTGACAAGGAGCATCCATGAAGCATTGCGAAGAATTAAGGAAGCATCACCTGAATCAGAGGATGAAGAGGAGAGTTTGCCTTGCACAGACTGGGAAAATTAACCTGTAATTAACTTAGATTTTTTAAAAATATTTCTTCAAAACTTCTTGTGTATAACAATAGTGGCTAAGCCTCAGGTTCTGCATTCTTGGGAGACTTCGTATGAAAGTGACTAAACTGTCCAATGTCCAACATTAGTCCAAAATGCACATAGGAATTTAGTAAAACTGGCTTTTCAAAAAATTTAAGATTTATAGTAAGAAACTTTTTTTTAGGCAACTTCTTTGCCTTTTGTTATTGAGTAATTTTGTTGAATATTGACAGGACTGCTCCTATAAAAAGTTATGGTTTATTTAGTAAATTTGAAGGAACTGTTTGCAGCTTACCAAAAAGCTATAAAAAGCTTTTAAGTAAGAAAGCAGCACAGTCACTCTTAGACAGACATTGTACTTATTTTCTAATTACTTCTTGCCTTGTAAAAATTTAGAATGTTTATCACTTTAAACTGAATAGCTCCAACTGAAGGACACTTAGATTTGACTTCTGAAAACATTGGTGTGGCTGACTCTTTGATAGCTTGGTTTCGATCTGTAAACTCTTTGCCTTAATTGAATTTCCAGACTATAAACAATGAATATACAAATACAATTTCTACTTCTGATACTTGTACAAATCCCATGAATTTGCATTATACAAAACTACAGTGCCTGAAAGGACAGCTATTAGACTTCAGCAGATGAAGTTAATGATTTCAGAACAAACCAGAAATTCACAAGAGATAAGTTTTCAAAATGATGGCTGCATCATTAGCACAAAGATTGTTGATTACAACAGCAGCATACAGTACTGTTCCTCTATGGTGGTTCTGCTACTGGGTTGTGAATGAAGTTAAGTCTTAATGAAAGCTCCCATTAATTGTAAAAATAGGAGAAAAAAAGAGGTATGACAATCTGTAAAGAATTTTAAATCTGTTTAGAAATCATAGAATCATAGAATCCTTTAGGTTGGAAGAGACCTCCAAGATCATCAAGTCCAACCATTGAGCCATTAGGGCTCTAAATTCCTCTGCTAAAACAGATCAGAATCTGTCAGGGTTGGAAGGGACCACAAGGGTCATCCAGTTCTAACCCCTCTGCCATGAGCAGGGACACCTCCCACTAGATCAGGCTGCCCAGAGCCTCATCCAGCCTGGCCTTAAAGACCCCCAGCAATGGGGCCTCAACCACCTCCCTGGGCAACCCATTCCAGGGTCTCACCACTCTCATGGAGAAGAACTTCTTCCTCACATCCAGCCTGAATCTGCCCACTTCCAGCTTTGCCCAATTCCCCCTAGTCCTTTCAGAACTACGGCAGATAAATACTTATAATCCTTGCAAGCAGCTAGCAGTAGGAAAAAGATAACCTCTTTGGATGTTTACAAACAGGCATATCTACCCTGCTTAGTTATTACTGTAGCTGGAGAGTGATTGTTGATAGAGTGCTACACACCTGTCTAGAAGGTGACGGTGACATAGCACATCATCTGCTGAAAGTTTTGGTTACAAAATACTGTCTCAAACTGTTCCATTGATAGGCTGCTTTCAAATAATAGTATTTAAAATTTTTAAAATGGAAAATAAATTTTGCCTTTTTTTCCTCATGAATTAGCTAGCCATTGGCCACACTAATGATTTAATGGTTTAATTGTGGCATGTTCCTTCCATTCCATACCCAATGTACTGCTAGTTTGGGACTTGAAAATGCAGGAATGGAGGTGTACTTAACTCTTGCTGAAACTCAGACTGAAAATAATTTTGTTTGGATGTAAATTTTCTTCACACTTGTGTACTGGAAACTCCTACAGCCCTTCAGAAATCAAGGAACAGCTCTAAGAAAAGACATGCCGTGGAACTGACTTGGCTTTCTCAGTGCAGTTATTCTCTTTTCATTTCCCAGATAACTGAGCAAATTTAAACTTTGTGATTTGACTATGATTTTAGTAAATCTAACTTACTCTTTTGGATCTTGTTTCCATTTTTTAGCAAGAATACACTTTAATATTATGAATCATTTTAAGAAAAAGGGGGAATGGATTTTCAGAGAGTGACTTAGAATTTTTAAAATCTAGTTGGTGGATCTCCTAAACATTTCAAAATCCTCTTTGAAGTCTTAAGTGTACACTTCTGTACAATATAAATACATGTTTTTACCTATGCCGTCTTTTGCAGCCCCACAGAAGCTGTTCAGAGTGCACACTGAAAAATCGCTGCCATGTAGTGCTTGTAATGCACTGGTTGTTGTCATCTTCTTGTCAGTCTGCAATTGTGGGATGTTCTCCTTTTAAGGATGCACTCCTGTCAAAGGCTGAGGTCACATGAAATCACTTGGACCTAAAGCAGGATGCAGTGTCAAGAGTTCTGACTGTGTGCTCTTTGGAGGAGTTCACACATCTGGGACCTGGTTTCTCTTACCAATGTCATATTCAATTACGAAAACAGTCCTGTTTTCATGAGATGAGATGATTTAACAGATAGTACAGATTGGACTGAAAAATGGCCGTGCAAAATAGCTAGCAGCTGAGAAAGGGAAAATGGGCCCCTGCTATGGAAGTGCGTGCAATAATCTGGGAGAACAGAGATTGAGACAAAGCCCTCCTGAAATTTCAGCCGAATACTTTTGACCCAGATGAGTGTGTCTGCTTGAACGTGCAGACTGGCTACCCAGAATTTATTACACAAGAGTAAAATCTAATGAAAGGCTGTTGTAGAAATTGCAGAACAGTATTTTGTACTATACAGTTACCCATTTAAAACCATGCTTTAAGACTGACTTACTGATTTTTAACTGTAAGCTCTGCATGTACAGAAAACAGTTCTGTAGAGATTTTAGGCTGAAAACAGTTATACAAAATTATATTGGCACATGGTAGGAACGGTTTAATAGATGTCCATCCTTTTAAGCTAAATGTAAAGCATTTGTTTGCCTTAGGAGTGAAGGCTGAATCTGATGTAATGTTGTATCTTTATCAAGTGCCAAAAGGTGTCTTCATGTGTGTGCAAGGAGTATTAAAAATGCCCACTGAGGTGGTTTCATTAATTATTGAAGTGTGGAGACAAACAAATAGTAACTAATTCCTGCAGGAGATCTAGTCATCTTTTGTATTACCTCTATGTGAGTTAACATCTACATCAAGTTAGGGCTAACTTTTTTTAAGAGCAGTTCCTGCCTTACAAACACGTACAAAAGTGTTGAGGCATTCTACATATCAAAGTGGAGCTGAACAAGCAGTATGAAGATGCCATAGGTTTTGTATGAAAAATGGGAAGATTACTGGTTATTTAAAGTACCCCAGGCCTCTATCTCTGTTTGTGTACATAATGATAGACATAAATCACTATAGTACATTAAGAGTACTCTTAAGTAATGTGAAACATAGGTTCCTGGGAGTGACAGAGTAACAGAGAAGAAGCAAGCCTTTGCTCTTCAGTCTTCTAAGCCAGTATTTTGTGCTTCTCCAAACTCTAATAATCTGTGTTTACTGCCAGTAACACCACAAGGCAAAAAAACCAACCTAGTCATAATCTGTGTGTCCTGGCTCTAGATTTGGTGTGTCATTACCCTGGGAGCAAAGAGACTCAAGGCTTTTGAAAACTGCTTCTCAGTATTGCATGTTGGAATTCGCTGTTATTTTGATCAGAGAGTATCTGTACAGCCATTTAGCTTTTCAGATGTTCCTTTTTCTTTTTCCCAAACAGGTGATTCACAGCCACTGATGTGAGAAAAGAAACCCCAGTAGAAGATTACTTTTCCTCTTCATTTCTGAAAATTCAGAGCCAGCAGTTAGGACCATCAGTTCCACGGGAGGCTTTATTTGGCAAAGAAAGAGCCTTTCTTTGGGAAATGATTCGGTGTATGGAGAAAAATGGCCTGAAATGTTAATTTTCAGGGCACTTTTTTTCTTTAATTTGCTAAAAAAATTTCTGGTTTGGGCAGAAAGCTAAGTTGTTGAGGTGTGCATTTTACATAATTAAGAAAAGCTGACTCTTAAGCACTTCTTATGTTTCTGTTAGTAATGTGTGGCCAGTGAAGTGGGGGGATGTGGCAGTTTTATTTGTGAGCATACTTGCTGTTACAGTAACTTTGGGATTGGCTGAGGCATCAAACCAGCTATAAAACATCCCCTCCGCTGTACTGAATACATCATCTGCTTGAAAATCCAACTAAATGGTTCTTTGCAGAGAAGCTTGCTGTGCAGCAGTGTGGTGCTGCAGAAAGAGAAGAATTTGTAGTTGCACCACAGTAGCTGAAATTCAGTAACATGCAACTCAGACTTTTTCTTCCAAGTTTGAAGAAGTGTATGTTGGTATGAAAAGTAACAAGTGACCACAGCGCAATGAGAGTTAAGAGCTGAATTCAGTACATATTCAGGAATGCGTGTCTTTCTAGCATGGTACATTTAGCAAGACATATTGCAGCACCTTCTTAGAAGGTCATTTGTAGTCTGACACCTTTTTGAAGTAGACATTTTCATGCTTTTTAAAAATAATATTTAGCTATGCTGAACCAAGTTAGTTTCAGTATCATTTGTTATAGGAAGCAATATTTTGTAATTTCATACTTAATATTATTTTTGTCTTTCGATTTAAAATGGCTTTTGATTACTCTAAGCAGCCTTCATTTAAAAAAAATGAAAGCACTAAAATATACTGGTAATTCAGTTGTGAAAATCATACTTCTCTCTATGGTTTTCATCATTGCCTTTATTGGCTGCAAAAATGTTTGTATTTCATACTCAAAAGCCTACTGGCTGGAAAAAAAAAAAAGTTCCTCATTTGATCCTGACTTTTTTTTTAAAGGAGAGTTACAGTTTCCTCTGCAGTGAATACTCAGAAACAATCCTAAACTTCATGACACATGGCTGCATGCAGCTGCTCTTGGGGATACCACAGTACTAAGAGTACTAAGAGACAGGGAGCCTTGCAATATCTAGAAACTCCATGTGATATTGAAGTCACCCTGTTAGAATTCTAAAGAAAACTGCATTTTCAGAAGCATTTTATTTTTACTAGTGTGACATACATTC